GAAAGATCATTACAAGAGTTCTATGAGATCTTTTCTTTCTTATGTCTATATTATTTAGAACTGTTTAGAACATGGATGCCCAGCCTTTTGTCTTGCTTGAGCTGTGTTGAGTGAAGAAGAATTGTCTTGGGCTGCATAAAAAATATATAATATAGTTAATGTGTATAGATCACAGTCTTGTGGGGCTGCATGATTACCGTTTGGACATGCCTGATTTCGTGTGTTTACACAAGTGTACCTAAAAGAAGTTAAATGGAAGCAGGCAGGATTGTCCTCATTTCCAAGTACTTAAAAATATTATAATCTTGGAGATTTCTCCCATTCCATGATAAAAGGAAAGCATTGAAGGCTAACTGGCTTATCTCACATGCTACATCAAATTTATCTTTAGGGAAAGTATCAATCAGAGGCATCTGGGAAGGGGAGGGGTCAACCCCCCCAAGCTCTGTTTTCACTGGTAGAGGGCTGCACGAGGCTGTTGTGCTGAAAACGGGCCTGGGGGGCGCACACAGCCCTCCTGAGCTCAATTTTCACTGGCAAATGGCCGCAGGAGGCAGTTGTGGCCAAAAATGGAGCCCAGGGTGGCCACCTGCGGCCCACCCGAGCTCTGTTTTCATTGGCAGAGGCACTGAAGGCCGGTCCTGTGCTGTTTCTAGGGCAGTCCCGTGGGCCAAATCTAAGTACCCCGTGGGCCAGATCCGGGCCCTGGGCCTTGAATTTGAAACCCCTGAACGAAGGTGATTCTAATTAAGAGTTCAAATTATGTTAAGTGCCTTCTAACTGGGATATTTTATCAGGACAATACTTTTTTTTCTTGACATTAAGAATTTAATATTTAATAAATCTAACTCTTACTTAAAATTTTGAAAAATAATGTTCATAAAATACCAAACTCACCTCATAGTATGCACTATAACTTAATAGTTGCTATAAATAAACTCCCCAGAATTCAGAATTTAAAATTAAAACAGTAAAGAACAAGAGAGTCAAACTAATTTTATAAATTTGCTTTTGATGTATTTTAAAGAATATTGATTGTGAAATAAGTTAAGTTGAATTAAAAAGTAAAGTTATTGGCTAGCTAGGGAGAAAGACGTCCTAAAGCTTAGAAGATTAAATAGAAAATCTATTCAGGATTGATGTGAAGTATGTAATTTAATTTGGTACATGCATACTGGAATAGAAGAATGTAAATGAAGAGATGCATATGCAAAATATTATAGAAAAAAGATGAGTGTAATAGAAATATGTTTGGCATAAAATCTCCAAGGTGTTATGAGTTCACTGAATACTGAAAAAAACTTTGGACTTCATAACTGTGTTTCTTAACTAGACACCATTTATTATAGGCAACTTGTGGCTATAGTATATTGTTCTATTTATTATGTAGAGAACCTAGAGAGTTGAAATCTGTGCCTATTCTGCATTCAGTGAAATAATCTTTTTCTTAGTCTGTTTGAAGGTTATGACTTCCATCATCTTCTCATCCATAAAGTACTTCTTTTCTAACCTTTTATGTGATTTGACTTACTAATTCTGCTAACCTAATGCCTGGCTCCATATAGAGTTAAGTGATTCTGAAAAATTCACGGGAAATCAATCATGCCACTAGCCTCCATTACCATGGGGTATACTTTTCTAATGTCTTTGGAAAGCTGGAAATGAAATTTATCTTTGGTAATGACATTCATAAAATCAGATTGCATGTTTTGAGAATACACACACACACACACAAACACACACATACACAACCATAGATACACACGCATACTCATGACAGGAAGGATAAAAGTATAACTGTTGAGTAGCAGAAATCCTGCTCTTCAAAAAAAGAAAGAAAAAATGTTTATGTTCATTGGTAAATAATACTTAGAACACATGATTATTCTGAATTTTTTTTCAGATAATATCCTTGTAGATACTAATGCACTGAAATCATATCTTTTATGTATTCTGGTGAAGAGAGTATCATTTAATTGAATAGAACTAGAATAAAAGAAATCCTTATTTATTTATATTCTGTTTGGAAAATATGTGTTCTTCTCATCTTTTGCACTGTGTACAAACTATGGCAATATAATTGGCATAGAATTCTAGTTTAATTAACTTGAGGAAATTGTGTGAGCTGGATGTTTCAAGTTACTACTTCTCCAAGCAACATCATATATTGCCTGAAGAGGTTCCAGCCCGCTATAATTCCATGACATTTACCTAATCTGCAGAGCAGTCTCCCTTGTTGTAGTTCTTCCTTTTCTTGATCGAGTAACATAAAAGCCAGCATATTTGTCAAAGGTGGATTTCCAGGTGAGGAATGGTGAATTTAACACAATTCCAAATGGACCAGTGAGTAGAATGGTCCTACAGAAACTCTCCAGAAAAGAAGAGGATAAGAAGATTGCCAACAACTGTTCCTTGCAAGGAGAACATAGGACTGAGGTTTGAGATGGGGAAATAATGTGAAGAGGGATCAAACCCTATGGCAACATCTGAATGAATTAAAGACCAAGATTGTTAGAAGCAAAAGGAAATAATATAAAGTTGGTTTCTTTGATCAAGGCTAAATCAAGACATATTTCTTTGAAGCTCTGGAAATCCTTTATGGACTTTTTGCTGAGAAGTAATTGAAGTTGTGTGCTGCTGAGCTGACTTAATTGTTGGTTGGGAATGCAAATAAGTGTTTAATTGCTGAGTTACATTTAAGATTTTAAATATACATGAACTTTTTCACTAGTCAAGCACAACTGTACTTTTGGATCTGAGATACAGAAAAAGTTCATCATGTGCTACTTTACTGTAAGTTCTATTTGGAATAGTTCCATCTTACTACATCAATACCTAGGAATAATGGCTAATTGTTATATGAACCTCCTTTTCTCTCATATGAAACTATATATCACTTGTTCAGTAGCTAAAGTTTTTGTTGCTTTAAAAGAAGTCGGCAATTGATGGAAGTCTGAAAATTGTTATTCTTTTTGATTAAGTTTAGATCATTTCATGACTGCTGATTAGAGTAAAATTGATCATTTGATTTAATATAACTATTATTTTATGTTTAATGTATGGTTTTATTTATTTATTAAATTTGTATAGAAGTACAGTACAGTATATCTTACAAAAATTAATTCTGAACAATGTACAACATATTATTTCAAACACAGTGTTATTTTTTTTGGGGGGGGGATTTTTTTTTTTTTTTGGTAGAACAGCAAAGTACAACTATAACAATTAAACTTATGGTTAATACCCAATTATGGGTATTACTGTCCTTTTTCATATAGAAAAAATTAAAACTGTTAAAACTGCAGGTTCTAACCATGTTAGGACACTTGCCAAATCTCAAAAGTTCATAGCCTCTTGTGGTCACATGATCATCATTTGGGATTCCTGCTGGCTTTTGACTTTGCTTGTTGGAAGCTGACAGAAAATGTTGCAATACATGTCTCTGGGATGCTGCAACATTGTAATTGCAATCCAGTCACAAAGCAACCAAATTGTGATCACATGACCGTGGGAATGATACAACGGTTTTAACTATGAGGACCCAATATAAGTAACCTTAATTCAGCTCTATAACTTTGAACAATTGCTGAATGAGTAGACGTTAAGTGAGGACATTAAGTATAATATAATGTAATGTAATGTGATATGATATGATATGCTATGCTATGATATAATACCTAGCCTAAATTTACAGTTTAGTTCTTCTATAATCTCCATTCAGCAGAACTATCATCATCATCAGATCTAAACATGAATTTGAAACTTTGTTACCCATTGCATTGACTATCTGTCGTGAGTAGAAATTTCAATGACTATCTGTTTTTAGCAGGAATTTTTTAAATAGAATGGTAACTTTTTGCAAAATGTTCTTCAGATTATAACCATGTTGTTCAAGCATCCAAGAAAAATGTTTTTTTCCCTTGGGATTTTAGTGAAATAATCAAGATTTAATGAAGACCTTGAAGGATTACCATATATATAGTTTATAACTCAAATAATCCATGTATAATTTTACAAATTTAACAAAAATACAACTTAAGATATATATCTGTTTCTTTATTAAAATTAAGATGTCTATACCCTTAAGGAGAATGAATTCTCCAAGTAAAATGTTGTTGTTTCATAATGCTAATAAAAGGTTTATCTGCCAGTTATTTCATTTATCTCAACTGTTAAAGGCAGTTCTTAGTTCTGAAAACTAGATGATCCATCCCTTCAACACATAGAATTTTTTGGGGAAATAAAATATGGGAGAGAATCTGATGATATTGAGATTAAATTACATAACTAAATTTTGGCTCCTGCATATGTCAAGACAATCTAATCCTCAGTAGGGTTACATCCAAAGTGCTGTGCTGACATGCTGACTGACTTTCATCAGTGATCAAACATGAATTTTGTAGCATGTGAAATTTCTGTCTTGGGGTTTATGAGGTGGAACCTCCAGAAGGATACTTACGACTTGTCATGCCAGTAATTTCTGTATTACAAAATCTCTCAATGCGAGGTGACAGTATAACCTAATAAATCCTGAAAACTATAAAAGCTTTATTGGGTCAAGGTGAACTCTGCACATTTCTACACTGTCCTGCGTTAATGTACAATTAAAGGCTATAAGAAAAAAAATATGACAAATTGAAAAAGCATTGGTTGCAAGTCAGAATAAGCAAAAGGATTCATGTTACAAAGCATAATACTTTGGGTTAGGTGGAAAATGTATTTTATTTTTCATATCTATTTATTTATTTATTTAGATGCCTTCAAGTCACTTTTAACTCTTAGCAACTGCCTGGGCTAATTCCTGCAGTTTTCTTGGCAAGATTTCAGAAGCGGTTGGCCATTGCATGCTTCCGAGGGTCTAAGAAAAAATGACTGCAACTTTCGACTCTCTTTAGCACAGTAGAAGATAACAACATTACAACCGCAACTTTTTACTTTTACACAACTGTATTATTGTGGTTAGCCGACAGCAGGTGCGGATGGCTGAGGAGAGCGAGGACTCAGATGAGGGGCCAGGACCATTAGGGAGTGGACTGCTGCCTTCAGAGATTGTGGGGGCTGGCAGCAGCGATGAGGAAGCTCACAAGGAGCCTGTGCCGAGTGCGTGTGCTCGCAGGAAAGAGCAGCTGCTGCAGCACGGGCAACTCGGGAGTAAGGCTGCAAGGTAATGACCCCTCCTTCAAGAAGATAAAAGCCAGCTGTGAAGTGAACCTTCTTTGCAGGAAGCAAAGACGTTTTGAAACTCCAATCTCATGGACATTTTGGTATTTAAAGACTCTTGTGTTGTAAATTATTTCTTATCTGTTATTCTTGGCAGTCTCGCACAGTTTTGGTGAGGCTTGTGCTTATCAAAGTTAATTAGTTTGCAGAAGCCTTTTAACCAGGAATTCGTAAGAATCATTAAAAGGTTTCTGTTCCCTTTGGTTCATGTTTGTTTTATTGGAAAAGGTTTTGGGTCAGAACAAGTATGTACATGTCATTTCTATAACAATAAACCTATCTAATTAGCAAAAACAAAAAATCAAGTTTCATTTTTTTTTTAATTTCAAGTCCAAAAGCTAGAAGCTATTTCAGAATAGAAACATGGTTAGATATCTTCTATATCTAGTTGGTGCATTTTTCTTTCCTTTTCCCTCTTTACATCATTCTTTTTCTTTTCCTTCCCTTTCCTCATAGTTTTCTATTACTTTCTTGAATTCTTCTTTGTATTTTATATTTTGATAAACTAATAGAAAAGTTAAAAAGAGAAAGTGACTGATTAATGGTCATCCAGCTTACTTCATGCCTAAAGTGGAACTAGAACTCACAATCTCCCAATTTCTCATCCTGATGCCTTAATCACCAAACCAAACTAGCCTTCTGTAAATGAAGCTTCCTGAAAAACCTGAACAATAGCCTCCACCTTCTCATTTGCTTATTAAATATGCAGCTCACATGAATTTGTATGCTGGAACTGCTGAAATTTAGTTGACTCTTACTCACATTCTAGTAATTATCTACGCAAAAGAGTGCTCAAGAATTTAAAGCTTAACTTACATGATTTCAGTAGGGGTCTAATATTAGAAGCAACAGTCTAGTGATGTTTGGTCTGGATTTCAGACTTGAAGTGTGTAATTTGAGGTAATCCAGGTAATTAGAAGTAAGAGTGCAAAAGTGGCATGATCAAGTACTAGGCAATTACCAATGCCATTTGATTGTGAAACTAACACACGCAGTTTATTACAAAATAGCTAGAACGTAATTCGGTATCCTACAAGATTCGATCCCAACTTAGTAATGTTTAGGGCAGGGATGGACAACTATGGCAATCTTATGACCTGTGGATTCCCAGAATTCCTGAGCCAACTTCCTGGGGAAAATTCTGGAATTGAAGTCTACAAGTCATAAAATTGCCATAGTTGCCTATTCCTGGTTTAGGAAGATCTTATATTTATTATATATTATATTTAAGTGATTGCAGGAATCAGATATATACAATACCAAAACTATTTTTTACCAAAGTCCTCTCTATGAAATATAGAAGGACATGACTATAAAATGCCCTTTTTCTTAGAGGGGTTGAACAGTATTTGAAACTTTAAAGACTATACAGTATTACAAATATTGTTCATTGCTGTAACAATTCTTAAACATTTGTAGAAAATATAAAATGGTCTAAGGAAAAAAATATATTGTTCTTCACAATTGTCATAGCTTATTACGCGAACAAAGACTTATCTGCCATGCAGTCATTTTCCATAATCAATTCATCATTCAGAATATTTACTGAATTTTTTTTTTCCAGAAATAGCATACCATCATGTAAGTGTTTAAAAAATATTGTTTCTTCTTTGTAGATGAAGTTAAGATCACCTAGTTGCTGTTCAATACTAACTGCAAATTCTTGCATTAAAATAAAATCTAGATGGATCTTATGATATTTAGGATTTATTTTATGCCAGGTGTATAATACCACTGTGAAACATGAATCTCACTGGGAAGATTGACTCTTTCCAACCATTATTTTGCTTGCGATAACAACAAGAATGGCACATCTAAAGAAGTATTTCCCATCAGCACTGGTTCTGTATAATATACTTCAAAGAGTATGCAATAAATAAAGAAAATATCTGAATTTAAATTCCCGATGGTCTTGTGGCCTGATGTTCACATGCTGATGAGTTGTTAGCAATTGCTTAAATGAAAAATCTTTTCTTTTCTTGGAGGTTATCATGAATAATGAAAGGAAGGAACAGTGGGAAAGAACGGTGCTGTGGCCAGAGGGATAAAATTCATGTAAGACATACTTGCAAAACTTATTTGAAAGACAATATAAAAAAAGCTCCTATCAAAACTTCAGGACAATGTGCTACTGATGAAAATTTCTTTTGAAAACAGTTTTGATAAATTAATCTCTTGGGCTGTTCCTGTTATAAACTGATTCGGTATTCAGGCTAAAGAAAAAAGACTGGAATATAAAATTAGGCTGACATTCCCGTGGCTTTCAGAGAATCCTGGTTCATTTCTTTACCCAGACAGCTCAGGAGTCAATTATACATGATATGCTGGTAAAGATTAGAAATAAAAAATTCTGAGAGGACATTTTTTGCTTTAGAGATCTTACCTGCATATGGATAAAAATTTGTCACTTCCACTTGGTAATACTGTACTCAACGATCCTAAAGACTTAATACCTTCTCCTACAACAGGAGTGTCAAACTTGCATTGTCACATGACATATCACTTTTTCCCCCTTTGCTAAACCAGACATGGATGTGGCCAGCATGTAATGCATTGGCCTGCGGGCTGTGAGTTTGACAGCCCTGTCCTACAACAACAGGGCTAAAATAATAAGGTGTTAAGATGATGTAGGGCATCAGTTCAAAACATAGTTTTCTTTAAACTTAGCAAAGTTTTTCATTAACATAAGGTATATAGTTTTGAAATAAAAGCCAACACTCCACTTCCCTAAATAGGCAGGAAAATAGTTTATATCTGCTTTCATTACAGGTAACCCTTTACAAGCAGTAAAGATAAATCAGAATGTTTTATTAGACCTGTAGATTTCCAGTTATGCTGCCCTTCAGGTTCAGTAATTCACAGATAATCTACAGAGCAGGCAGTTTCTCACATATTACTGTGTTTCTGAACAGCAAGGATGTCCATGCAAGGAGGATGAATGGGATTAAAAGCATCAAGATGGCGGCCATTACTGAGTGGGCAAAGCCATGCTCCATTTCTACAGGAAATCCCCCTTTTTGACTCTTTCTTCAGCAGACACCCTTGCTAAACAACTTTTACCATTCTGTGCAGCAGTGGGACCCTACCTGTTCCACTACTGGTTCGGTGATCGTGTGCACGCAGCTTTTCACACACCAGCTGAGGCCTGCAGCCCAACCAGCTGAGAGGATAAAGAAGAGAAAAGCACAGGGGCAGGGGGAGGGCCAATCCTGGGTTTTTCTCTTCTTTCTCCTCTCAGCTGATTGTCGCAGGCTTTTTTTCTTTCTCTCAGCTGATTGTTGGAGGCTTTTTTTAAACTACCAGTTCGTAGCATACCACCCCTGGTTCTGTGCATAAAAAGGAATAGTCTGAGAAATATTGTTGAGAAGGCAGAAGTAAAGAAATCATTCTAGACTTTGACCAGAGCAAGAATATAATTTGAACGTATATCCCCACAGAGGCAGCTTCTACAGTTACCCAAAATTCTTCTTTAGGAATCTAATAGAATATCACAAACATAGCCATTTGGGACAAGGAAAAAGAATCAGCTAGTGATATATGTTTATTTAGAGAATTATCTGCAGGGAATATGTGTACAATAATACTGTAGTTCAACATAGAATGAAGTTGCAATAGCCTGTGCTCACAAACTGAAACGCACCTCGAGCTTCAACGTTTCTCTAATTAAAAAATGCCATACTTTAATTTACTATAAAGAATACAAATACTACTTGATTGTCTCAGCTATTGACTCTCAAGTCCCAGTAAACGTATGGCAATTTATATTGGAAAATATACTGCAGTAATTCCCTGAAGAGAGAAGCAGCAACAAAATGAAATCAAGCTGGTAACTCTAGTTACCAATCTAAATAACTGAATAAAATATAGTTAATGTTCTTTGTTTCCAACATGATTGTGCACCTCATCTTCTTTTCCCTGTTCACTAAGTCACACAACTCAGATTGTCTTGGTTCAATATCTTTTTAATGACTTCAGACTCTATTTATAACCCAAGCAAATACTTTCTATGGGATTTGCACAATTTTCATCACACCAAAAACTGAAGAGGCTTCTCCCCACTTTCAGTTTAAGAGTAATGAAAAACAATGAAATAATCACTCAGTTATATATGGAAATGAAGATTTTTTAAATGGGCCTCAACTTGGTTTATTTTTTACTTTTAATAGAATGCTACGTTATTACTATATTTGCTGCCCAATGTTTGATGGATATCATAGATAGATGACCGTATAAATTTTAGAAATAGATAAGCAGACAGTTTTTTACTGAGGGTGAAAATGCTCACCATCTACTGAAGTAAACGCCCACACCCTTCATGAATAATTACAAGTGATTGTTAACATAAATTTCTACCACAAGGTTCGTCAATTAGTCAGTGGAGGTTAAACTCATAGTTGGCACTATCACTGCTTACAATAGATACTATAAAATGGAGACTAAATTGCACAATTGTCATCTCTGGTACTTGGAAATTGCCAGATGGTATGGAAATGACAAGATTTGAAGTACCCCTTCCAGGCCTCAAAGTAGAAATCTGTGAAGGAAGCCTAATGTTCAGAGGCACTAAATTGGACAGGTCTCTGGAAGAAGCTACACCTCATTGATCTACTCATCATCCCTTTGATGATGGTTATTGTTTGGATAAATATAGTCATGGGGCTATGAAAATGTCATGTGAACAATGCACAACTCTCTTCCTCAGAGTTAACTCCCCAAACAGGATTGATAAATAGAGGCCCTAACAGAAAATAAGGCCTTTTAGTGAATACTGTAATCACTTCTTGTTGTGAACGAACAAGTTAAAGTCTACTATTGAAAAAACATCTAAATTAGATCTTCCAATAGAAATCTAAAGATTCTCTGACAAAGCCATTGCAATATCAAGATGCTATTCCA